TTATATATATTTAAAAATTTACCTTTTAGCATTACTTAACAATATAATTGACCTTATTAATTTTAACTTGTTCCTTGAAAATACAACAAATACTCCTAGGCTCTTTACTCCAAGGTTAACTTTAGAAAAAAAAAATTAATTATTTTTTGATATTTGGAAAAACCCAAATATTGTGAACAACAAAAAAAGGTCAAAAAGATCAATTAAAGTAGACCGGAGGGAGTAATAAATAAGAGAACTTGGTCTACCCCTCACTTATTAATGAGATGATTTTTCTAGTTACAAATTACAAGACTTAATTCCTTTTTCTTGATATATTAAAAATTTGACTAAATGAAATTCTTAAAATCTCTTAGAAGCCACACGATTCAAATATGCTTTAAAGTTTCAATTAATATTTTATAGAGCCGTCAATATGGGCTTGGCCCGTAGGGCCAGCCCAGCCCAACCCGTGATTTAACAGGGTTGGGCTAGAATTTTTGGAGCCCGTATAAAAACGAGGCTTTTAAGCTCGGTCCGAGTAAGCCCGTGACCCGTGAGGCTTGACTGAGGCTGGGCCGGGCCGGCCCGTGGGCCTAATAAAATATTTATTAAAATATATAAAAATTAAAAAGTATACTGCCTTTAGAGATAGAAAGTCAGAATTGGATCTTTACTAAGAGGAACCAAAATTNTAGCGTAAAAATAGCGAATGCAAACCCCCAAAAACTAAAATAGTCTACTACTGTGTGTGCTAGAACCTGGTATCACAAGCTACGGGCGACTAGTAGAATATACACAAAAGAATAATACACTATCCTACTATCTGAATCAGGATAGACAGAAAACAAAAAAGTACAAGAAAGGACTCCTTCGGCTGCGGATCGGCATGAGAGAGAAGCAGCTCACCGTAGAAGTCCCCAAGCGTGCTCACTGATGCGCACCAGGATGATGTCCAGATCCACCTGCCTCAAATCCTGTACATTTAAGTACAGAAGCATAGTATGAGTACATAAACCACATGTACTCAGTAAGTATCCCGTCTAATCTCGAAGAAGTAGAGACGAGAGGTCGACTTGATACTTACTAAGGTCAAGATAATATAACAATAAAGTGAGATATACAGCATGAAGAATTTCTAATAACACAAGTTTAAGAGAAGAGTCATATTCATATTCTGGACATAATTAAACTACCAGTTTTCCCTTTTCCATATTAAACAAGTGATCACGTCATATCTAAATGTAAGCATATAAATCATGCACAATCATGCCGAGGTCGACGACCCGCTCCAACAGAAAATAAATTGTGCACTGCCGAGGGTCGAGCGACACGAACCGTAGATGCATCTATTATCACCCAGGCGATCGGCCCGATCCATAATCATCAAGAAAATATCAAGAAAAGCACATAAGGCTCAATTACGTACAAGGGGATTCCTACCAAGGCTCAGCAAACTCATACGTCCACCTTTCATTTCCTCAAGTCTCTAGCAAATCAAAATGATCATATTGGCAATTTAAAATAAGAGATATTCCCCAATTAGACATGACGTGGGTCCTAAACTACCCGAACAATTATCATATAGTAGCTACGCACGGACTCTCGTCACCTAGTACGTACGTAGCCCCCGCATTTAGCAACAATTACTCATTTAAAATTCTATGGGGACAATTCCCTCTTACAAGGTTAGAAAGGAGACTCACCTCACTCCAAAGTGCACTCCCAATGTCCAAGAACGAGCCCAAGTCCTTAATTCGAAGCCGGACAATCCCAAACTAATCAAACGAAGTAAGAACTAGTAAATAAAGGCTTACAAGGTTGAATTCTAGCTATTTAAGCAGTTTCCTAACCATTAACACAAGTTTCCTAAATTCCGACCCCGGGCCCACCTTGCAATGTTATGTTGAAACCTCCTCTTTGGAATCACCAAAATCGCCTAAGTGTTGAGAGTAATGTGGAAGAAATGAGTTTGGGTTCGTATTAATGAACCCTTCTGGCCCTAGTTATTTTTGCTTATGCGGATGTATTTCCGCTTCTGCGGAATTCGCTTCTGCAGAATTTGGCCGCTTCTGCGGCTTTTGGGATTTGGGGCTCGACCGCTTCTGCGGTCCTTGGGCCGCTTTTGCGGTTTCCCCTGGCCTGCCCCTTCTCCGCTTCTGCGAACTAATGACCGCATCTGCGGTCCCGCTTCTGCGGTCCAAGAACCGCAGATGCGGTTATGACAGAAGCAACAAGCTTCAGTCATTCTCCAAATTCTAACTTCACCCGAGCCTCGCTCGTTTGACGCTCGGGGCTCCCGTGCCCCGCCCGAACATACCGACAAGTCTGAAATCACGAGGCGGGCCTACTCGAACCCTCGAAACACTAAAAATAACGCTAAATCGAGGAATCAACCCCAAAACCAAATGAATCAAATCGTTGAACTTCAAGTTCTTAATTCCCCTTCAACGGGTCTAAACGCCCTTAAACTACTCGGATTGACACCGAATTTTACGGGTAAGTCTTAACTGATATTTCGGACTTGTACCAAGTTTCGGAATCGAAATCCAAACCCGATACCTAGGAAAACAATGATTTCTTAGTTTATTTAAACCTTTGAAACTTTAACTTAATAATTTCACATAAAAATTCATTACTCGGGCTAGGGACCTCGAAATTTGATTCCGGGCATACGCCCAGGTCCCATATTTTCCCACGGACCCTCAGGAATCGTCCAATCACGATTCCGGGTCCGTTTCCCCAAAATGTTGACCGAAGTCAAACTTGGCCTTTTTAAAGAACCTTAAAGAAGCAACTAGACTTATTCTTGCTCAAAACTCTTCTAAATTCCGAACCACCCGTCCTTGCAAGTCATAAATTAGCTAAAGCAAGTGCGGGAAGCCTTATTTAAGGGAACGGGGTTAAAAAAAATGCAAAACGACAGGTCGGGTCGTTACATAAATAGCAGATAACATCCAAGGTTGTTTGTTAGAGTATACCTGGATCATGCAGTGTATTTCTTGGTCAGAAATACGCATCTCTGTCAACTTGATTCCTTCTTCCTTCCATAAAACCACTAATCCACCTAGCAACCCATTGGCAGGAACTTGTGACATGTGAGTAAAATTAAAATCATCACGGAGTCTGGTGTGATCGTTCATGTGAGTTTCAAGTAGAATTGCTAACACAAGCCTATGATTATATAGCAAAGACCTAAAGTGTCGCCTAAACTCAGGATTATGGGATCCACGACAATTCCAAACTAGGAAATTCATGTAGGAGGTTGGGTTATAGATCTGTCCTATTGGAATTGGAGTCATTGGAGTGACATGAGATGTCATCTGCTCCAGACTCACTATTTGAGTAAGCTGATGAAGAGTGGGAAGAATGACCATGGCATACTTCCCCACTTGGGGATTTGTCGTGAGACGAAAATTGAGGCTGCATGCTTCTAGTTCGGGTGGACATTTCAGAATAATTTTTTTTCGTACTGTTCTTTTAGGTCGTAAAGCAAAATCCCCTTTAGCCACCAGAACTCTGTCCTTGTTTCCCTCATCTCCATTAGTGTTTCGGACAGCTTTTGCCTTGTTGGGCTGTCTAGTACGTGCGGTGATAGTGGTGGTGTTTGTGGGGGGCTCTCTTGTAAGTTGGTGGTGTCTAGAGGAGTTAGTGGGCTGGCATATGGGGAGAGTGGATTGAACGAGTGGAGGGACTGGAACCAAGGTGCAAACGTTTGACCCATATGATGTGTAGGGTAAAATGGCATCATATTGATGACCGGGTTCCCATGCAAATGGATTGGATTCATTGGAGAGGCCCAGTGTTGAGTTGAGGATGATGCATGAGTCTCTAGCTATAGAGGTGTTTGAGTGGTGAACCACTAATTTTGGGTATAAGCTTCCATTCCTAGACGCATTCCCTCCGTCACAATCTCGGCAAGATGCGAAGGGTTCTGTATTAGGAGAACTACCTCCTGGCCGTTCATCTCCATTGTAAATATCAGTGCATAACCCTGTAGACCCATTTCCAACTAAGACTGAAGTGGTTGATCCATTTTCATGTTCTGAGAAGTGTAAACCATCGGGGTTGAGATGTATGGTAATTGTGGCCCCTGCATAATCAGCCTTGGTAGATGGAAGAACTGATGGTTGTTGTGAATGTTCTCCTCCATGGACATATAATGGCTGGTGTTTGGGAAAGATGGTCTCTGCATCTTTTGGATTGTTAAGAGGATTTTGTGGGTAATTGTATACTTGAGATGGAGAAAGAACCTGATATACCTGAACTGGTGTAGGAATAGGTGGTGAGGCAGGGGGGAGCGTGTGAGTAAGATGAGTGGATTCATGTGGGTCTTCATATGTTGTGCAATGGTTATGTTTGCATGTATTTGGAGTATGGGTTTGGTCTAAGTTATTTGGAACTACTGAAGCATGCAGGACTATTTGGTTAGGGCTTTGTACTGGCAGAGACGTGTCTATTTGGTGTGAAGGCAAATATGATTTGTCTTTTAAGGATTGGTGTTGGGTGGGGACTGGACTACTACGTGGCATTAGTTGCTGCTGTAAATAAGTTTGGGTAGATGGCATACTCGAGTTTTCTAGACTAGGTAAAGAGTGATTTGGTAAACTTAGGTCAGTAATAAAATGTGTAGTAGCACACTTAGTTGGACTAACCAAATGTAAGTCACTAGTTGACGTTGGTTGGTCACTAGAATGCAACTGCATTTTTGCTAAGGTGGGTGGTAGAGTATCACCCATATTTTGGTCCCAGTGGCTTGGGGTAGTACCAATACTAGTTGGGCCCTCTCTACTTGTGTCCAAATCAGAAAGACATTCAAACGTGTTAAGGCTTATCTCAGTGGGCCTCATATTGTAGAGTTTATCCGCAGTGGTCCGGCCCAACTGAGGCCTATTAGGGTTAGGGAACTTACCTGATCCAAGCTGCTGACGTCGAGGAGCTACTTCTGCAACCGCCTTGTCAACGGAGGCTGTGGAGTTGCCGGTGTTGTAGATGGATTTTCTGGTAAAGTCCATAGTTTTTCACTCACCTTCCAGTGTTCCATCAGTCTTTATTTGCGCAGGAGCTGATGTTTCCTCCATAGATGTAGAAACAGCAAAAGTACTGGATTGCTTCGCATGTCCAAAACGTCCACAAAGCATACGGATTAAGTTTAAACCTTCATATTGAATTATTTGTCTATGATGTCCTATATTCACATGGGTTTTCAAAGGCTTTTCCAGTGGTACCTCGATACATATTTGTGCGTATCTTCCCCTAGTAGTAGACGAAGTGCATGAATCTATCTTGAGTAGCTTACCCAGTTTTGACCCAACTCTTTGTAAAATCTCTAGATCATAAAACTCACTCGGCAGTTCAGGAAGCCTCATCCACAAAGCTGAGTACGTGAGTTGAGTAGAAGATGCTATAAATTTTTGTTCCCACCTACGCACAGATAGAAAGTGATTCAAAATGAACTCGGGACCACCATGAAGTGTTGTCATCATATTCTCTTCCTTTTTATACTTTATAAGAAAAAACACAGAGCCTAGATCGATTAGAGGAAGTTGCTCAGTAGGCTTCCATAGATCAATAAGCTTGTTGCGCAGAATATGATGTGCAATCTTTCGTCCAAACAGCTTTATGATAACTGAATATTTCCACGGTTCATATAAACGTGATTTATCATGAGCACTGATTGGAATAAAATTGTCATCGTTGTCCGCCTGGAGGCTGACTTCGTCAGTTAAGGTAGCAGTAGGGATTGTGCTACTAATATTATCCGTATTTGGTGAAAGATGTTTATCAAGTAGTAGGGTTTGGAGGAAGGTTTTTGGTTGAGGAGTCGAATTGATATCATCTATTTGCATTGATCCCATATCAGGTGGTTCAACGCTCTGTAGTTGTTAGATGTGGAAGTTGGGATTGTGTTTGATTCATGTTCGGATTATTTGATGTTAGGAGAAGGTGAGCGAAGTGTTTTTAGAAAACAGTTTAACCAACGGAAGAAAACGAGAGTGTTTACATATTCACACTGTACTCCTATCAATCTTTCAATTGTTCATGATGTGCTATGTCAGTAATGTGTGTTCAATTACACAATATAATTTGAGTTGAGGTGTCCAATAGGTACACCTCTTAGTTCAAGTGTCTAAATGGAAAAAATGAACAAGTTTAAGGGGCTACATATGTATTCAGCCAAATTTGTATAATTTTTTATATAACATACATAATATATATATATATATATATATATATATATATATATATATATGTACAAAAAGTATATATTTTTCAGCTATTATTTTGAGAGCGGTTGTACAATATCATTTTCTCTAAAAATAACGAACAAGTTAGCTACCTGTTACATCTTAATTCTGATGCTAAACATAGTAACATCGAATTCAACTAAACTTAAAAAAAATCTTGCACGGAGTGAAATCAAAGAGTTGCGCAGTCGATGAAACTTTTGTTCTAGGTTTAATTCATATTGGAACCTTCGCTTAGTACAATCTTTCATTTCATATTTAATATGGTCAAAAATAAAAGCAAAAATACTATCAACTGTCGAGAAGGGAAACTGGGATGGAGGCACAAACAGAAAATCTATTACTCTCTAGTTAAGGAGAAATAATAATTTTGTTTCTTTTCTAAATCATATTTGTCCTAATTTCTTTTCATTACTTTGCTTTTGCATAACAATAAGCATAAAATTTACACGCCTTTCTTGGTGTAACATCTTGTTAAACATTCTTCCAAGCAGCTTCTCATTAACTTCGGATCTACAAAGAAATTATTAAAAAATATTTCACAAATTACAAACATATAAAATTGTTAAAATATAGAAATTTACGGAAAGAATTATACCTTTTCCAAATTTGGAGCAACGTCCAGCTGAACAAGCACGATTACAGTTTAAAGCTTCAGGAGAAACGGGAGCACGACAATATCGTTCGATGCATTTATCAAGGCAAAAGGGATTTTTACTTGAGAAAATAAAAATACACATTTGGCTTCGCAAGACCATCCCTCCTCACCAATAGCTTCTACATTTGCTAAAAAAGTTACAGTACGGAAAATTGCCATTAGAACCTTTGTAAAGCTCATGATTTGTAATATAATGCACTTAATTGGGACCTCTCCTCGATTGATATATATATATATATATATATATATATATATATATATATAGATATATATATATTTTTTTTTTACTTTTGTCTAACGCTGTTTATAATCAGAGATTTCAGTTGAATTTAAGACACATTGCACAATAATCTGGTCATGAAAATTAGATTACACCCAAATAAATAAACGTAAAACAATGCACAACTTGTATAACACATTTTAACTATTGTAGTATATGAATTTGACTTCCAACTCACACAAATTAATGTTTAACTGATCTCCACCAACTTGTGAATGACAAAACTATTTATTTACAATAGTTGCAATTAATATGGGAGTTAGTTGAAGTCATTTAAATTGTACTCCCTCCGGTCCACAATAAGTGATTAATTTACCGTGCTAATTGTACATCATGGCCCTTTACAATTTTGAATTTAAGAAAATGACCCTTTTAGATCTCTTATGTGTAAAAGACAGATCTCTTACGTGTAAAAGTAAATTTTTCATGTGTAAAAAAAGAGGCAGGGTCATAAAACTAAAAACAAGTTTGTAAAAAGCCAAAAACCAATTGACCGTTAATTTGTCTTGGGCACACCCATTAAGAAAATACTAAATTTTAGACAAAAATAATTAGTGTGACTAAACTACCTTTGATTAAATGTTGCAGCATAATAATTATGTGAGGAGTAAACGGCTTTTTAGGAATACGTATATAAGGGTAATTTTGGAAAAACAAATTGAATGTTTTTCTTGATTATATAAATGGATACTTATTTTGGACCAAAATAAAAACGCAAATTAATCACTTATTGTGGACTGAAGGGATCAATAATTACAAAAGCTTATGATGTTATTCATGTTTACCACTTCATGGTTTTTATTTTAAAGATAATTAATCTATATTATTATAAAAATATGAAATACCAACACGAAGTAGAAGGGTGGCAGAATTGTTCCATCGTGTTTAGTCCTCTAATTGCATTTAGACGAATAAATTGATAGTACTATTTACTATTTGATATTCGCCCTGTGCTAATACAACTGTGTTTGGACAATATTTGGATTGAAGTTAGAAAAGGTGCTAATTTAAATTGCACGGGGCGCCTTATTTGGTCGCCCCCATTTAACCTATACCCATATTTTTAAAATTCTTTAACCTATACCTTAACTTTGACAACTTCAGACGCCTCCTCTTTCTTCCTCCTGACCTATGCGCTCCTTTCTTCCTCCTCTTCTTTTCCTCTTCTTCTTTTCTCTCTCAAACACATGGCACTCTCATTAGAACATAAGCATTCTGAAGATGATTTCTCTTAGTACAGCAAAATGCATTTCTAATGGCGCCCACGAAGCTAAAGCTTGTTCAAGTTCAATTCGAATCTGTTTTTGCTTTTATATTTCCTTGTCTAAATGTCTGCAAATCACTTAGGCGATACGAGCAGAGTGGAGGATGGATCAAAGCACTGTTAGAAGAAGCTGAAAATGAGAGGATGCATCTTATGGCTTTCATGGAAGTAGCGAAGCCTAAATGGTACGTCCCTGCTATTGCCATTGATTCCTACACTGAGTTCCTCAAGGAATTGGACAAGGGTAATATTGAGAACGTCCCTGCTCCTGCTATTGCCATTGATTACAAGGCTTAAGTTATATTTTAAAGCCATCTAACTTCAAAGAAAGACAGAACAGAACTTTAGCTCTAAGAATGCTAAAGTTCAGCAAATATAAACAAAAACTTCAGCTTCTAGAATGCTGAAGTTCAACAAATATAAACAAAAACTTCAGCTCCTAGAATACTGAAATTCAGCAAATACAAAACAAAACTTCAGCTCCTACAATGCTAAAGTTCAGCAATTACAAAACAAAAACTTCAGCCAAAATTGTAGTTTTATTGAACTGAAGTTTGCCATTGCACTATGAACTGAAGTTTGCGTTTGCAAGGCAGGCCAAACTTCAAGCAAAAACATCTGAAGTTTTGCTTTGATAAGGCAACACTTCACGCAAAAAATTCTGAAGTTCAAACTTCAGATATAAATTTTTGCTACTTCAGGCCCGTATGTCTGAAGTTACCCGAAAAAGTGGGTACGCTTGTAATTTTTTTGTGCAAAGCGGGTATAAGTTAAAAGGTGACCCAAAAACTGGGGATAGATGCAAATGCCCCATTTTCAAATTTAAAACCCTCTACAATACCAAATGTTTTAAATTTATTCTTTATTAAACTTTAGAGCCCGCCATAACCTTATCGTTAGCTAACGTAGCTCCTGCATGAAATAGATGAATTTACATGTCTAAGTACTGTTGGGAGAAAAATTCAAATTTACCTCCTCTACTATTTCTCTTTGTAGAAGCTATTAATTTTAATATTCTTATTTTATCCTAACTACGCAACTTGCTGGAGGAAGTTATCATTTTTTTTTTTTTTACTTCCTTGTAGTTTCACGATTTTTACTTGTTTTTTTCCTAACGGAGACTATGGAAGATGTTACAGAAAATAAGCTTTTTCCTGATAGAAAAAATAATATATCAAGAAGACAGCACGAGACGGGTGAGTTAGGCGTATATTACGAATTTGATTCATCCCACGGACAAAAGCATAATATTCAAGTGACAAAAGCAGACGGGTTATTCTTTGTACTTCAAACCGTGTCCAACTAGACCCAGGGATCAGTCGATTATCATATAAAATGGGAAAGGTAGATGTAAGAGATGTTGCATACACATCAACTTTTTGCTTGCTTCTGCTTTGGAAGAGCGTCAAAGATCTGGGGAAAACAAAGACCAAAGGCAAAGTATGAAATAAAAAATGTCTGTTCTATAAGGGGTCATTTGGTAAGGGTCGAGATTATAATGATGGGATTATAATAAATGGATAGATAATAACTGAATTATTTAATAAATATTTTCTTATTAGAAGATATTTGGTTCATTGAGCCAAAAATGAGATATACGGGATATAATATAAATATGTGTTTGGTGCATATTAGATAAGTTGGGATAAAGTTTTGTTTTCAATTTTAACGTTGCATTGTTTAAAAGACTTTGGGGGACGAGTGATGATAGGCTATAATTACGCATTTTAGTCGATTATTACACTCTAATTTACTGCACTTTAGTTGAGTTTGCGCTTTAATCGCTAGTGTTTTGCACTAATTGTGTGTTTTATGCCTTGTAGGAGTGATTCCGAGCTATGTAGATGTTATGGAATGAATTCAAGTGATTTGGAGCTTTGAAGTCTGAGTAAAAGCCCAATGAATTAAGCCGGGATCGTATTCGGGGATCCACGGATGATAGAGCAACGAAACGAAGAATCGAGTAGGCATATTGCGCATTGTCTAGTAAAATACATATAACTTTTCGCTCAGAACTCCATTTGGGCTCCACAATATATGGTTGGAAAGTTAACTCAAAGGGATACAACGTTTATGTTTTATGTTTTTCCAAATTCCAAACGGAACAGGATGAAAAATGTGATAGAAACCGTGACCGCGGACCTGGACGCGGACTGAGGTAGTGCACTGGGAAAATGCCGCGCCCGGACCGCGAGCGTCCAGACCTGAAAAATTATCCTTTTTCGCGTAGGAGAAGGTATAATTGTTTGGGCCCGACCCTACTTGGTATATATACATGGAAAAATGGTATTTTAAGGGGTTGGACACACTTTTGACATAATTTGGACCTAAGGAGGCTAAGGAGATCGGGGATTCGACCTAAGGAGGCAAGAACACACTGGGAGCAAGGCGGAGAATTCTTCTACGAGTTTTTCCTTCCTCTTCCTATTTTTCCATTATTGGTTATGAATTCTAGTATTGTATTTTTGCATACTATTATGAATAGCAAATTCATTTTCTAGGGTTTTGATGGAACCTTTTAGGATAAATACTTGTTATGTTTTTATATAATTGAGGCGTTGGATTTCTCTACTTGTTCAACTACGTGTTTGTTGCTGTTGATTGAATGGCCATCAATTGACTATGCCTATTTAGTGTGTAGTGCTCGAGAGAGAGTACATATTTAGCTAGTTATTGAACAACGTCACTCCTAACGTATGTGAGAAATCAATACAGTGGGTTTAAAGGCAGGTTTAGAAATAACAAAGCCTTGACGTGGTCATAATGAGCGGTTAGATAAAGCCAACTAGGGTAGTTCGAGAGAATATGTCTAGTAAATTATTGTAGTTGCTCGAGAGAGAATTACGACACCTAAAGTGTCACGATCAGTAGAGAATACATTGGCAAAATTGTAGGGAACATAGCTAGAAGGATTCCGACAAATGGGGAAATCATAACTCTAGACCTCCTTAATTTCGTCTCCAACTGTTGTCTCGTTAGTTGATAATTTTACCATTTTGTAGTATTTGCTAGTTAATTAGTCATAAATTTCAATCTTTATAATTTAGAAAATTGTTCAAACTTGTCTTCTTAGTGATATTAAACTGATATAGCTAAGCCTTAGTTCTCTGTAGGATTCGACTCCGGACATTTAGATCGGATTATATTTGGAACGACCGCTTATCTTTTTTAGGACTAGAGTTGGGCGTGATCAAATTTTGGCGCCGTTGCCGGGGAACTAACGGCGTAGTTGTAGCTGTATATATTGCTAGGGTTCAAGTTTAAACTTTTATTTTGTTTTGTTTTTTTTTGGTATTTTTTTATAACTGTTGATTTGAGAAACATGACATCTTGGAATTATGAAAATTTAGGTGTAGATAATTCTACTATTGATCTCCATACATATTGTGAAGGAAACCACCCGTGGCAAAATTCTCAAAACGTTCCTGAGAGCGAGTTATGTGCACCAACTCAATCTTATTTTTTGAATGTGTGTGGTGGTAAAAATGGTCACTTTTATGGTCGTGCTTATATTTCTTATCTTCCCCCAACCCCTTACTATGATGGTTCTACCTTTTCTTGTGAAGTTAACAGGAACAAAGAACCCAGGGATGATGACCTGAAAGAGATCAAGGATATCTTAAAGTGCCTTCTGAAACAAAATAATGAAACACAATTGCAGATAGAAAGGCAAGAGGCAACTATTCGCAAGTTGGAGGCTCTATTGAGTCAAGTGGTTGGAGCTTTTAATTCTCAACAAGCCAATATTGAGGATAGTAGCCAAGAAGAGTATGAATTTGAGGTGTTAATTGGGGAGGTCAGAGTAGAACATCAACAACCTAGCCAACTATAATTTGAGGATGTCAATGTTGAAGAAGTGAGACTAGAGCCAACCAAGGACTTTGAGGATATAAATTTTGTTGACTCTAGTATCATTGATATTGAGGATGTTGAAAGTCCTGAAGTTCATGTGTTTGAGCGCATTGGTCCACACTCCAAGCGTTTTTTCACATTATGTTTGGATGATGATATGGGAATAGAGTCATCCGAACCAATTGAAGAGTCAAGGAATGAGGAACAAGGTGCATATGTTCTGGAATTCTTCTTGCTAGAAAGTCAGGATTACATACCTTATACAAAGGCCAAGGAGTGCAGAATAGTACATTATTTCCTTGGGCCAGTTAGATTCGTTCCACCGCCCCATGACCATAATAATAAGCTTGAATCAAAACTTGGGGTTTAATTCATAAGCTTGAGGTGGAGGCAAAAAGTGATTCACGTCGTGCCGCGACGTTAAATCAAGCGCTTGTTGGGAGGCAACCTAGCTTTATTTTTTTATTTTTAATTTAGTTTATTTTGTTATTTTTATTTTATTTTATTATTGTATTATTCTTGTAGTATCGATTTTTAATTTTTAGGAGCATGGAACGCAAAGCCATTGGAAAGATGCAACAACAAACCAGATGGTTGGAACTAAGTGTGAGGTACCCGCATGAAGGACCAGGCCTGGGAGAAGTCTGAGTACCCCATGAGATGCTAGTGCTTCGGCCTTTGGCCTACCAGGGAGTTCCTTTTACCCTCTTGTATGTACGGATGTGCATTGGGGACAATGCACAATTTAAAGTGTGGGGTGAGGAGATTGTCGAGGTGACTTTCTATGCTATTTTAGTTGTGTTAGTTTAGTTGAATAATTTTTTTTTGAAATAGAAAAGATTGGACTTTCCCAACGATGGATCTATTAGACAATTTTCTTGAGGGATTTAAGTCTAAAGAAAAAATAAATTCTTTTGCTACGTAGTGTAGCAATTTCTCCTTGATTTTTCTTTGTGCCGCGGTTCTTTTCCAAGGGTTTTGTTTGAACCGGGTGTAGTTAGTTTTTTCTTAGGAGTAGGAGCCAGTGTGAGATAAATTGAATTGAAGCAATATCTCTTGACTTTGTTATGCCTTGAGTGTTGATACCCAATTTTTCCCTACGTATTTTTTTCATATACAAAATACATTCAAAATAACATATATATGCATATATAAGCATGCCCAAGTATTTTGGCATTTTTCATAAATTTTAAAAATGTTTAAAATCAATTTATTGTCCATTTTAGCAATACAAAAATCAGTAACTATTCCCAAAACTATCAACTTTGGTGAATAGTTTATTTCATTCTCATACTTACACCAAAATATAGTTAAGGTGATTTTTGTATATTTTTACAATTTTATTTGGTATTTTTAAGAGCCAAAATACATACAATTGCAATTTTAGCCTATTTTAGGATTAATAGCATTTCTATAATTATAAAATTGGTTCCAGCATTTTTAAT